GTCCTTGAGTTATTGCATTAACAAGAATAAGACAAATGAGGCCACAATGACCTTGACTTTTGATCTATGACCACCAAAATCTAATCAGTTAATTGTTTTGTCCAAATGGATGTTTGTGCCAAATTTGAAATAAAAAAGTCCCTCAAGCATTTCTGAGACATCATGTTCACTGGAAAGGGACGGACAGACGGACGGACAACCCAAAAACATAATGCCACCGGCCACAGGCTGTCACAAGGATGTAGGCATAAAAATACTTTATTATAAAATATCACTTGCTTTAAGTTCTTGGATAGTAATTACTGTTGATAAAAGCACATGTTCTGTTTTCATATTTCTTTACTGTGTACAAGGAAATGATCTGGTTAAGATCAAGCATGTTTAAACATTATTTTGTCTCTAAAATGTCCTAAAATACTACAGTATGGCTTTGGGTTACTTCAATGGGTTTGTGGGGGACTTCTTCAGTAGCTGATTAACAGAAACTAGGAAATAAATAGATTTCCTTTATGGGGTTTTCAATGGTGTGGTAATGTGACAACACATGTTACAATTAGCCAAAGTAGATGACTCTAGCCCTGACTAAGTAACCTCTAACTGTACTTATTATGACAGTTAAAGACGCTTGTTAATTTTGTAAAGTAAAATAAATTTAAGTTATCAAATAACCTTCTTTTCCTTCAAGGCACAGCCCAGGAGCGACACAATAAATGCTTAAACTGAGAAATTCTTTGTTTTGACGTAGTGGTTGTCCGTAATATTATATAATACTTTAATTTTTTTTCAATGCAACTTAATTATAATGTGGCCAAATCTCTGTATTCTCCTCCTCCATTAACAACTTTTAACATAAAAGTAACAGCTTCAATAAACAGATTTATTTGACAGTCATCATGTATATCTACAACTTTCGAGCACACAGGTATATAAATATATTATATTGAATACAATGAAGTACACACATGTCACAAACCTGGACAGACTGTCGATGCGAACACCGTGTTTGGTCTCTGTGTCTCTGGAGTCCATCTTGATGCTGAACTCTTTGTCGAACAACATCACAAAAGAAATGGCGCCTGAATCTGGCTTCATGTACAGCAAGAATGAGTCCTTCACCACCAGCCAGCTTCAAACAAACAAACCAGTTTAATACGTTAACCCAGAGAGCACAGCAGCAGAAGCTGGCCTGCTTATGTGATTCAGAGTGGATTCACCAAAAAATCAGCACATGAAAAACTATCCTGAATTCACAAACACAAATGTAGCTTAATGTGAGCACAGACAAAAATTTCTGGTTATAATATTAAAATCATACTTGAACTTCGAAGTTTCTCTGCAACATCAACCATAAAGATTTCAGCACAAAATGTGACATTTGCCTTAATTTTTCTTTCTCAAACTGAGTTAAAAACCTGTTAGATCAGCTGCTTTGTTGCTGCCCTGCTCTTCTATAATGTTGATGTGTCTCTAGATCTTAGTAGTTACATAAGATGAATGTTATTAATAACATGAGAAAAGATGGCCAGAATTCAGTCTCATGTCAGACTGTGTGACTGCGGGTGTTCACTGACCGTTTCGACCAGCGGTAGCACATTTTGCTGCGACCACAGCAGTTCATCCCAGGGATTCGATGGCCACCAGATCGCTTCAGCACCATTCCTTCCCTGAAAGACAAAGATATTGTTCCTACCAAAACAATACTGTGAATCTGTGTCTACAAAAACTCTGATGAAGTCTTGAATGGGATAATATACTGTTGAACATAGTTGTCTGGTGCATTCTTTACACATTAATTCATCAAGCATTGGTTGATTTTCTCAATACAAGGCTGAAAGAGGACCTATTAGGCTCATTTTAGAGTGATACTTGTATTTTGGGTTTCTAATAGAACATGTTTACATGCTTTAATGTTCAAACAAAACTTCTCTTTTCTCATACTGTCTGTACTAGAATGCCTGTATTAACCCTCTGTCTGAAACACTCAGTTCAAGCGCCTGTCTGTTTAAGAACTCCTCCAGAAAAGGCCCAGTCTGCTCTGACTGGTCAGCGTTTACGGGTCCTCAACATCTGCATCCTTGCCCATTGATTTTTGCATCTCTGCATTGTCAATGCAGCCTGGTAATGACTGTAACGGAGTATATCAGCACTTTCTACTGTGAAAAATCACAAATAAAAGTGGACATATTCCAGCAGGAGTATGATCCGAAATAAGGGAGAAATTAACAACATCAGCAACCAAGATTCCATGCTTCCCTGATGTTAACATGTAGCTACATGTAGCAGTGTACTTGCAGCTGAGGAATGACTGTGTACAGCGGCACTTTCTCCCTTAAGAAAATCACCAATAAAAGCTTCTAAATACAAGTGAACATTCCAGCAGGAACATAATCTGAAATTGGGCATAAATGATCAACACTGACAACCAAGTTTACATATTTTCCTGAGATTAGCATGTAGCTACATGTAACAGTGTACTTGCAGATGGAGAATGACTATAACAGGAATAGCGGCACATTCTCTCATTAAAAATCACCAATAGAAGTTTCTAAACACAACCAGACATGTTTCATTGGCAATATAATCCAAAATTGGTGAGACATTAACAACATCGGCAACTAAGATGACATGTTTCCCTGACATTAGCATGTAGCTACATGTAGCAGTGTATGTAATGTTAACACTTGCAGTAGCGTGTCTGGGGCACAAGAAATCCGTCATGAGCTAACTTCTGCTTATCTCCAAAGTAAAAACAAAAAACAAACAAAAAAAACTGTTGAAACAGAGTATTTAGAATGATCTGCAGCCTGATTACTTTTACAAACATTTACATTTACAATATGTATGACAGAAAATAAGAAAAAGCTTGATAGGTCTCTTACTGTATAATAATAATAACAGCTTTGCTAGAATTCCACATTTTTGGATATTGGTTAGTTAAAGAAATTTGCTTCTCTTCATATAAATGTTTTAGTAGGAGAATCTGCATATTAAAATATGACAGATCAATTTAATGTTCAACAACATGTCAGTTTTCTGGAAACTGTTCAAATTAAACTGGAATTAAAAGGCATTTTCTCACTAAAACTGTAAACTTGCATTGTTTTTTAGGCCTAAATGTAAGATTTAAATACCAAAAGTTAGTCAGTGATACGTTTGAGGTAGAGTTGTTCTTACAGGCCTTTTGGTCCCAGGTCATGGATAAACGACAGCTGGCTAACATCAATAAACTCCATCTGAAAGAGAGAAATAAGTGTTTCAAAGCCTGCTGTCACACATTAAAATATTTTCCAGGACATTATGGTCCATTTTGTCACTTTACAGGCATGTTTTCAAGATTTTCCACGATGGAGAGCTCTTCTGAAGTCTTACCGTTGCATGGAAGTTCCTGTACGTTGGCATCTTTAGTAGCTTGTTCAAGTAATCTTCCAGTTGTTTCTGGAACAAACACACATTAGATAAATATCAGTCAGCCGCTACAATAAAATTAAATATCATTACATATAAAATCAAGAGTGACTGGTGCTCTGGAGAATGTCGTACCCTGCGACTAGAAACTTGCTCCTCTCTGCCCAGCTCATCCCCTCCTCCTCTCGGGAGATTCGGCATCTGCCTTGCCTCATTCCTCGTCACCCCCTGCCTCTTTATTGTGTGACTAAAGAAACAAGAGAGAGGTTGTCGGTTCAAATCCCAAGACGGTAGCAAAACTGTGAAAATAGTGTAGTTTTCTTAAGTAGCTTTAGTGACTTTGTGGAAGGTTTATATCATGGAGACTGAAGTGTCTAAAGTCGGCGCCGAGATTCAAATGAGTCTCCACCTCTTTTGCTAATCCTTCCCACTCAAGTCCAATTCTATTGGTGGAAAACTTTCCTTTGTGTCCAATTCTGATTGGGCCCGTTTTTTAATGGTGTAATGCAGCCTGGAATTTCCCAAATCTTCTACCCTTAGGTCTGGTTTCGCTTTTACTCTATTTTTAAAAAACGTGAATTTTGGGGACTTTTTATGCAGTCCTCAGTGCTCTCATTCTTATACAAAGCGAACCTTTAGAATACAATATGTGAATGTGTGTGTGTATTACAACATTTGAGCATGTGTTTCATCATTAAACAAGATATAGTGTGTTCTTTCAGTAGGTGCATACAACATGATTACATAGTCTGGTGCTATGAATACTTTGACATATACAGCAATGTTTTATCACATTTAGATGCAGATCAAGGATTCTTATAATGCCTTGTACATGAAACATGATTATATGATCTTTTTGTCTCTTAATCAACTTATATATCTTAACCTTGTTACTTGATTTGCTGGACACGAACTTTTACACTACAAGACAACAAGAAAGAGCCGTATGCTGAAGACAAAATGTGAACTGCAGGTCTGAGGTGTAAGGGTATATTTCAGTAACAAATTGTAATCAAACTTTTAAATTGGTCATATATATTTATTAACACATTAATTTATATTTTGCACTTAATTTCTTAAACTGTTACAGTGATAAAGTGGATAAAGTAGACATAAGGCTACCTAATATGTCTTTCAGTTCAATAATGAAAATAGAATTACCGCCTTGCGGTTGTATGCCTCAAAAAAACAGGTCAAGCTGCACTTAAAGTTTACATTTAGGTCTGTGAAAACGTGGCTGCTTCACACACATCTTCCCCTCAGCAGCACAGAAGATCTATACAATCAACACAGTTACAATATGGACACCCAAGATGAGTGTCACCAATTCAGTATCTGACCAAATGTCTCACCTCCTGTTCTTGAGATATGACACTCAGTAATGGCCAGAAAAGTGTTTTTGTAAAAAAAAAATATGATGTCGCAGTGAAGTTGACCTTTGACCTTTTCAGTATAAATGTTATCACTTCATCATTTAATGATCTAGTCTTAAAAACTTTGAATCTGGATAAGAGTGCTCCAATCCAATGCTGCTTCAAATAGTAAGATGGATGAGCTGATCCTGGAGAACAAAACATAGGATTTCCAAATCTGGATCATTCTGACCCAGATTACATTTTTAAACCACTGGGCCCTGAGGCTTTATCTAAACCCAAACCTGAGATAATCCAGAACAAGAGAAGACCTTGGAGTGTTTACCTGCGTGTCGGCAGGGGCAGCCTCAGGAGGGCCTTGTATGTCCTCAGCTCTTTGTGGAGATCCATGAAGTGTTTCTCTTTCCTCTTCACCAGCCATGTAAACTCCCCATGTTTCAGCTCGATCTTAAACACCGCCGGCATTGACTGAGAAGCACACAGCACAGATACACACAGTTAGATACTGCCTTTTAATGCTTTACATTAAAAAAATCTCATCTGGCATTTCTTTGTTAAATTACTTGCAAAGATCATCATTTGTAGCGTGGCTGTCCTGTGGGAACCATGAATCTCCAAAGAGTCTGTAAAACAGCTTGTTTTAAGCTTTGTGATGATGCATTTTCCATCTGATACAAGGGTTTTTAAAGACTTTATATAGCTTAAGAAGGAGGAAAATTTTCTCAACACATAAAGAAACACTTCATCCTTCAGTTTAAGACAAGTATTTAATATCAACATATCTGGAAATACATGGTTTTCACTGGACAGGAGGGAGACAAAAAAATGTCTGAAAAGTGACTAAAGCTGTCAGACAAATGTAGTGCTAGAAAAACCACAATAATAACCTCTGAGATGTAGAGGAGTGGAAGTATAAAGCTGCATAAAATGGAAATACTTAAGTAAAGTACAAGTACCCTGAATTTGTTCTCAAATACAATACTTGAGAAAATGATGAACTGACTTACATTCAACCACTGCCTGCTTGTGTCCACTATTTCTTGTCTTAAAGGGATAGTTTGGGTTTCTTGAAGTAGGGTTGTATAAGGTAATTGTCCTTAGTCAGTGTATTACATACAGTTGATGTCAGTAAGTACACCCCCAGTTAGGAGAAGCAGGCTGCAGTCTGCAATGGAAGTTAGGCAACGTACTGTTGTGGAGGGGGCAGAAGCAAAATGTACTTTAGCCACCTAAAAATATATATATATATGTTTGTTTTTTAAATCAGTATCAGTTTAAGTGTTTGCTATCTTTAGAATGCACTGCTTTACCTTGCTGTCTGACAGCAATTTCCGACAGGAAACTACAGCTGATATATTGCTCTGATCATAGTGAAAAACTGCCATATTAGCTCGCTGAACACAGGAGCTGCTGGTCTACTGCTTCTTCAATCAGTTAGTTGGTTTGTGTAGCTATGTGACTTTGGTGGATCCAAAGTAACCCTTTTAAACACCAAAGTCACACAATAACACAAACAAAAATAACTGATAATGGCGGCCATAGAACAGCAGCTCCTGTGTTCAATCACAGTTTTCCTCAGTGGAGTCTGGCTTTGAGGAGAGTCATGTAAAAGCTTCCTTTTCCCGTTAGAAATCACTGTCTGACATTAAGGTAAAGCAGTGAAAATATTCTAAATATAGCATACTCTTAAACTGCTAATGATTTTTTTTAGGTGGGATTTATTTTAGGTGGTTAAAATATGTTTTGTTGCTGACCCCTCAACAGCAGTACATTGCGTAGTTTACATGTCCGACTCCAGTCTGCTTCTCTAAATTGAGGGTGGGCTGACTGACATCTACTATTTGTAATACACTGTCTACGGATAGGTACCCCATACAACCCCACTTCAAAAAATCTCTGAACTAACTCTTTAATGTCTCTTTATGTCTTATGTACAGCACTTTCAACACTTTTCACCATTCTGTTGTGAGGTGATATATAAATACATTTGCCTTGTCTATTTTCAACATGTTAGTGCTGTCATCATGAGCTTGTTAGCATGCTGGCTTTAGACTTAATAGAGCCTAACAAAGCCGCAAGCATATCAATTCTTTCTTGTTTATATTTAGATGTTAAAATGTGCAAATAAATCAAGTTTGGACTACACGGACCCCCTCCAAAAAACGGAAGGAGAAATCTGGTTACAGTTCCCATTATTCAGCATAGCCTCTTGCAGATAAAATATGACCTGAGCAACAAAACGTCTGACAGTCTTAATGGCAGCCAGAACAGTAATTTAACATCTGTGAGAATTTAATTTAATTTGATTCCAGAGCACACCTACAAGAAGCTGAGATGTTATCTGAGACAAATAATGACTGTACAGAGTGAAATGTTTTGGAAACATGTCTGTCCTTGTGTACCTTGTTGACGCTCCTCTGTGTGGTTTGGTTAAAGCGGTCCTGAGCCGAGGTGAAACGCTCTACCTCCAGGATCTTGGCGGTGATCGGAGAGGTCAGGAAGACTTTGGCCTCGGACTCCTTGAAACCAACCGTGTGGTAGATAGCAGTGAAGGGCAAACGCTCGCCTACAAAAAAACAAAACAAAACACCAACAGATAAACAAATCAGATGTCAGACACAGATATATGCCATGTAAGCAGATGAATACCACACTGACAGAATGCACACCTGAGTCATGGGCGTCGGTTGTGTCGTACTCTCCATCTTCCAGGTCAAGCTCGCGGGTGTCCAGCTTCTCCATTATGCCACTCATATCATTGGCAACCAGCTGCAGGGTGCTGGAAGTCGGCTCGGATGACTGCAACATGGCTAGCACTCAGTCTGGAGCCCGGGGCTCACCTGGAGAGACAGGTAAGGAGGAGTTAAACCAAAACGTAAGGGTCAAATCACAACTTTCCATTTTTACTGTACTTATTGGCACAGGACAACCCAGACAAAGGCTTTACCAGCCAAGATGGGATATTAAGTCCCTACTAATCAGGCACATAACCCATTTGACTATGAAAGAGCAGCAGTTTTCCAGTTTTAATAACCGTAACTGAGGTCTGGAGATAAGGTAAGACCACGAGAATAGTGTCCAGTAGAGCTGCAACATAAGTGACCAGAGAAACTCCAATTAAACAATTACAAAATATGAGACAAGTTAAAACCACCAACAAAAGTTCAATTGCATTCTAACAAATTCCTGGTTTGAAAACCGGTAAGAAAACAATGTATGAAAGAGAAGTATCAGGCCCACAGGTTCAACCTGGAGCAGCATTTCACCACAGAGTGAATGTGTAACTGTTAACTGCTTTTGCACTGGGAAGCAGGTTTCATTTATTCATTAACTACGAGATGACCAACAAATCAAAGACCCTGGAAACTTGTTTTGGGGTGTAAAATGAAAACACAATTGTGTCTTTCACGTGAGACATATTTGTATTTTTGAACGTGCAGGCTTCTATTGTCACACAGAATTTGGTGGGAATTTTCTGAACTTCAACTTTGATTGGAATATTGCTTTAATTAATATTTAACATTGTACGAGAACAGATTTGACACTTTATTTTCAGGTACTTTAAAGGGATAATTCAGATTTTTGGAAGTGGGGTTGTATGAGGTACTTATTCATATTCTGTGTACTTCATACAGTGGTTGTCAGTCAGTACTCCCTCAGTGTGGAGAAGCAGGCTGTAGTACTGATATGGAAGCTAAGCGATGTACTGCTGTGGAGGGGGCAGCAGCAAAAGGTATTTTAGCTAGTGATGATCTGAATATCTCATGTCCCTGATGTTAAAACTTAGATGAGTTGACTTGTCTAAAAGCAAGAACACAGAAAACATTCAATTTTGAGCACAATTGAATCTATAAAACAGAAACCTATTTGGAATAGAAGTTCATTGCTCTTTTGTCATAGTATACTTGGACAAAACCCAGTGTCATGACCCCGGACAAATCCCTTTACCAAGCAGTTTTGCTTGCGAGCAAAAGAGCCATCACATTGAATGGCTGCAGGCAAGCCTCCCCTCAAAGAAAAACTGGATTGCAATTACTGACAAAATTCACTATACGGAGAAAATCACTGTTTCTTTAAGACTATGTGTTGATCAGTGTATAAAACACTGGGAAAAAAATTACTACATACACTAAGGGATGTAACCTACTGTCTGTATAATTTAAAAATCCTGCTTTGTACTGTCTGCGGCTCTTACCAACCCCTGTCCTCCCACCACCACCTTTTCACTTTACCCTGAAAACACCAATAAAAACAAATTTCTTAAAAAAAAAAAAAAAGAAGTTATCTATAGAGTTAAAGGTTGTCCCCTAAAACATTGCACATATTGCATGAGCCATTTAAAATCATTTATCACATTTTTCAATGACCAGATCCCCACAAATGTGTGGCACTTTGAACCATGTGTTATGACAATTACACATTATCCTACATAACATGGCTACAACCTACTAACTAAGAGTTAACTAAAACATTTTTGGGGAAGTTATTAGGGAAAAGAAATCTTTAGTAGCCATGCCTGAGTGTTGAGTTTGAATGGCATTTTCATTGGGTGAATGCAATTGCACAAAACAGTAATAATTTTATTAATTACTTTAACCAACTGGTATTTCTGTAGCCACCTAAAAGAAATCAATATCAGATCAGATTTATTCTGCAGGATTTTCCTAAAAATAATGCATAGACTCATACAGAAATAATCCCTCTCAATCATCATTTATGACCCAGTAGAAATGTGTATTTATCTCCAGAGACTCTGCCCTATGCCTGTATATTATTATTTTCTGTGTCCAGGATGTCTATGGGCATGTACTCCCAGAGGTTAGGTGACAATGGGGCTTTATAAAAAGGTAGTGAACAGGTGCCAGACTGTGAGCAGCAGGCATCCAGGAGACAGTGCTGAAAAATATGAAAATACAGCAGGGAGAAATGCCAAATGAGAGTAATTCTGGAGTTGGTTTGCACCAAGTGTACACTATATTGATCTTATTTCCGTCACTCAAATTTTCTGTCAGACAGCTCACTTTGATGGGGAAGCCGTTAACAGCCTTTAGTTCCCCATCTATGCTCTTGTCAAAGCCACCAGACTCCATTGACAAAAACACAAATTTTAGCTTGCTGAACACAGGAGTTGCTGGTCTACCACTGCCTCAATCAGTTAATTTTGTGTGACTTTGGTGAATCTCAGCTAACCAATTTAAACTGCCAAAGTCACAAAACAGCACAAACAAACTAACTGAACGAGGCAGCGGTAGACCAGAAAAGAAGTTCTGTATTATTGTATTATCACTTATTTTCTACTGGAAGGTTCTCACTACTGCTGTGGTCTCTACAGTAACAGAATAACCTAAAGCACTACCTCTGCACTGGAACCATCACAACTGCAAAACCAAGTGTCTCATCCATCATCAAATACTCTCTTTATGCCTCTCTGATGGATTCCTTCAGTCATTTTAACGTCTTTTTATGTCCTTTGGCTCTCCATCTTTCTTTTCTTGCTCTCTACATCAAGCTGTCTCTTCACCGGTTTTACCTTCACACCCTGCAGCTACTTCCATCCATCTCTTCCTCTCTTTCCCCGAGCACTGACATCAGACGAGACTCCGATCCAAACAACAGGATTAGCAGAGGAGCACAGGAAGCAGAGGACCTCTTTAACCACATTCCTCAATGTAAGTCAGTGTGTGTGTGTGTGTGTGTGTGTGTGTGTGTGTGTGTGTGTGTGTGTGTGTAAAAGCAGGTCAAACGGTGTTCGGGTGTGCACTCATGAATGAGGAGGATTAACTGGAGAGATTTTCACATAAACTGACACAGAAACATGAATGTGAGCAACAATGCATGCTGTGTGTGGGTAAAACAGGGAGAGATAATGATGACAACTGGATGTCTGCATCCAAACTAACAAGTTAAAAATCCATCTGTCATTAATGATGGGGTATCATCCGTGTGCCAATCAGAAACAAGCAGGTAAAGGCAGTTGCAGAATGTAAAAAACAAAAAAAAGCTAAGTACAGGTACCTAAAATATGTATTTGAGTATTTTTTTCTCATGCCATTTTCTACTTCTACTCCACTACATTTAAGAGATAAATGTAAAATTGTAATTTTACTTCATGACATTTATCTGTCAGTTTTAGTGACTGTACACATAGAGGTCCAGTGTGTAAGATTTAGGGAGATTTAATGGTGTCTACTAGTGAGGACTGCAAATTGTAACCAGCTGGAACCTCTACTGGTTAGAATTCCTTCAGTGTTCATTGTTCAGGGGGTTTTTACCAGGAGTTGAATTATCCACAGATGTCTCTTCCTCTTTAAAACAATGGACCAGGTGATTAAAACCGGTAAAAACACTGAATAAAGCTGTTTTACATTACAAATCAGTGTTTCTCCGATGCTGTTTGGCATGTCGCAAACAGGCTGCTCAACCAGCGCCTGCTATGTGCTCACCTTATTTCTAATCCAGACATTCAGGAGGTTTTTATTGGGAGCTGAATAATTCACAGAGGTCTCTTCCTCTCCAAAACAAATTGACCCACTGATTTCAGCCAGTAAAACCACTGAATAAAGCAGTTTCACATTACAAATCACTGTTTCTCCAATGCTGTTTGTCATGTTGTGTTGTTAGCCCAGTACCTGCTAATGTGTGGTCATCCATTTTCCTGTTAAAGATACTCAGGACTCCTGAATATCTTTCTTTCTTTCAGAGGTGCCTATAGCTTCAAAACAAACAAACAAACGGACCAGTTGTTTAAAACCAATTAATAACACTGAATAAAGCAGTTTCACATTGAAAAATCTGGGTTTCCAATGCTGTTTGCCACAGAGGAGCTGCTAACTACAGTGGCCGATGTGGGGGAAATTTCTGTAATAAGGAGCTACAGTAGAAACACAGTGGTGCAACATGGCGATCTCCGAAGACAAGGACCTGCTCCCTATGTAGCTATAAACAGCTCATTCTAAGGTAACGAGAACACAATTCTGATTTTCAGGTGATTATACACTAAAAAAAAACAGAATTTTATATTCAGTTTCTGCCAATATATCTCCCTAAATCCTACACACTGAGGTTTGGACTGTTGGTTGGACAAAACTAACATTGTGAAGGTGTCCCTTTGGGCTCTGGGTCATTGTGACGAATATTTCTCACTATTTTCACTATTCATACAAACCAAACAATCTATTAATGGAGAAAATAACCACAATTGGCCATCATTGTTGAATAAAAGCAGAAACAAGCTGTTAGATGAGCAGCACTTTGCGTAAATCTCTCCTGTATGAGGTATTTCCTGCCTCACAACCTCTTATAAAGTTTCTAAAGTGTTCCTCTAAAAACCAACTATTTATGTTTAGGTTCTGCAGAGAGTCACACTGTGGTTTGACTGTGGTTTGTCTGCTCTCACTTCCTCCTCCAGGCAACACCACCACCAACCACAGTGGGCAGAGTTTTTCTCCCATATCTAGGAAATCAACAGGTCTGAAACCCACAGGTGAACAATGAGCAGCCACAACTCCACAAGTATATAAAACTGTACTTTAAAGGGCAGTTCATTTACACAAAAGAGCTGCTTCTTGACCAGCAAACATTGGTGGTTTCCTCTTGCTTCTTGCTTGCTTTGTGCCAAACAAAGCGAAACACTCCCAGCTCAATACCAGAAATGCATCATTATTCTCCTCTGACACTGGATTAATAGTGTCACAGAGTTTCTTTAACATTACCCTCGATCAGCCATAACTTACCATTTAATTCATCCACAAATTAACAGCAAAGTGTGTAATGAGTGAGGAGAGACCTACTCATTGGAAGGTTGCCTGTAATTTTTTGACTGAGAGGGATTTCCCTTCTC